TGGCCTTTGTCGCAATACAGCTGCTGCAGTCACCAGCCAATTTGTTACTGTCGCAAACAGACACATGTGACTTTCGGACTTGCGTCCAATTATCGCAGGCCTGTATGCGACACTGTATTGCACACGGTGTCAGGTGTTCCCCTATGTCCTTATAGGGTATGGTTTACACCATGTGACCCTCAGGTCACAACAGTAGTTCACCCTTCACATCAGACTCAAATTGGTTGAGAATTGAAAACTTACAATATCATATGTTAAGTCAATTTAGTGGTAAGTCAATATAGTGGAATAGTGGCCCCGGGTTCTCATAAGATACATTACCAGCAGTAAACATAATTTCCATGTGTAAAAATTATGATAAAAGAAAGGCATTCACTCGTGGAAATTCTTTTGATCCTGGTGGTGATAGCTCTAGTTACCTCCTTAAAAATAAAAAACTAATCGAATTTCTCAATCCTTGACCATACACCAAATAAGAAGCAATCCTTTCTTAAGATAATAAAAATTACATAGAGATCCATTGCACAATCTCACCCACAATTGAAAGACAAAAAAAAAGGACATGAGAATTCCAAATGAATTCATTCTCTCAAATACCTCGATATAAATTCTTTTCATTTTTTTTTTTTAAAAAAAAAGTAAAAGTAAAAAATGGTAGCAAATGAACAAAGTGATTGGTATATGTATATAAATATTAGACACACACACATCAACTTGAAGAAAAATGTAAACCCTCTCTTTTCTTAATAAACTAAAAAACAAAACTAAGGATATATATAGATTTGCCTCTATATGCATCCCTCCTTCTATACGTCCTGTCTCACACACACATTAACACATACAAAAAACATCCACACATCCACACAGATTAAAAAGAGGGAGATCATCGGTTTGTCTGCAGAGGGCTCACCAAAAAAAAAAAATCATTTGTGGTCAGTTTCCATTTCCACCACTTTTTCTTACTACACATAGGTAAAACTCATTAGCCCTGTATTCGAGCTTCTTGTGAAGGTGAAGGTCGAACGGGTGTTGAAGTAAGTTTCATTTCTCCTAGAGGTGGTGTCACAGTAGTCTGTTGTTGTCCTTCGTTACTATTGTTGTTATTAAATCCAGAGCCTCTTCTTTTCTTTTGTGTATCAGTACCTGAATTTGATGATGCTGAGTGAGGTTGACCTGGTGGTGGAGAGATGGTGGGTCCGCCTGTTACTGATGATCGATCGGATGGCGTCTTAACCTGTATTCAGAAAATTAAACCACGCATACAAACATACATACACACACCAACGCAGGCGCGCGAGTATATAATACAAGACGTCATAAGGTGGTAGCCAAAGTAGTCAAGAGAGAGATAAGGGTGGAGGGTAAGAGTGTAGGACGGTGGTACGGCGAAAGCCCGTGAAATCAATATCCAATCTCTACCAACCGATAAGACCACAACCAAGAAAAAGGGACAAGAAAAATATATTTGAATCTGTGGAGACCAATGAAAACTTGGTCCTTCTTGCCAATGAAAGGAAAACCCAAAAAAGAAAAAGAAAAAGGGAAACTCCGACAAGGCTTGAACATCGTCCAAGAGACCTACGTCCGTCTCTGGAAAATATGACTCAAGATAAAGAAAGAGAATGAGGGAACAAAAGAGAAGAAAACCGATCACAGACTTTACCAGTCTTAGTCCTTTTGGCGGCCTTTGATTTCGGAGGAGCGACAGGGGGCCTAGGCGCACCTTCGAAGACATAATCGGGTAATTGAGAGCTACGCCCACGAGTCGTAATTAAAAAATGAGACATTGAGGGAAGAAACGTAAAGAAAAAAAAGAGTAACGAAGGTCAGGCGGCAAGAGGCGTCGAAACGCATACCCCATAAATAAAAGGACAAGAGGACGTACCTTTTGAAATGGCGAACGACGATTGACATTTTATCTTCACAGAAACCTTCCCATTGTTTGACCATACGAGTGAATTCTCCTACAGGATACGTGATATCGAGCTTACGAGGTCCTACGTGCCCAGCTGAAT